AAAACCCCCGAATTCTCTGAAACTATTTCGACATTATGAATTTCCAGATTTGATAGCAAATCTCGCAAACTAGTTGCATTTTTATCCATAGCGACTGATTTCAAGTTGGCCGCTTGATGTCTCTTTGATTTACCCTTATGTTCCATATGCTCCAATGCAATTTAAACATTCACCTGCCGCTCTTCCGCACCGCGGCAACACACCACACGCTATTTGGACACGCTCATTAAGCTCTCTAGCAATTTTTATAGTAACTTTTGTCGGATGGGTAACATTACGTTATTTGTGGACACGACCCTGCCGGAGATGAGCCCGGAGACGAACCTCCAGGTTTATACGATAATGGAATATACCTCGGGTAGTTGCAGCTTGTCGTAAGGCATAAAAATATGGTCATCTTTCAGTTTTTACCACTATCGTAAATCTATATACTTTGTATGTTATTTTATATAAAACTCCCGGGCACATGAAAAGTTACGGGCGAGCGCTGGCGGTTTATCAGGTAGGCTGGGGAGCTGATCGTTCCCCAAAAAAAATTAGCCGCCTCTACAGGGTGTCCTAATAAAAAACACCCCCTCTAACTCGACGCAGAAGTGGCGCATCCAAACAATAGCTACACCATTCAAAAGTCCCTGAAATGGAAAGTTTGCAAAGATCTTCAAGACTATGTTTTTATTTAAATCCACAATCTTAAAGCCGATTTGAAAACATTAAGGAACGGCTTCTTCATCTAATTCACGCCAACTTCCGATAATGATAGAAATTGAGGCTTCATTTGTACCATTAGAGCGTCGGCCAACAATCTTTTTAGGTCATTTCCCTCATCATGGACGTGTTGGTGAACTCGGCAACGGCGCCATACTTGTTAGTTCCGCTAGCAGCCGGATATGCGTTGGGGTGGCTGTCACGGTGGGGGGTCTCGACGCAGCTGCAGCTCGTCAGTTGGCTTTGATGAATTTTGCCTTTCAAATTCAGCGCGCACAAACCGTACCTTCCATTCAGCCACACTCTTTCAGATTGCCTTTTCCTTACCCGGGCTCCAGATGATTTCAGTGATGATCGTGATGTTTCTGATCCGCCAACAAGCCATCATGCCGGACGGTCATCCCCTAAAATTCTCAACACGGTAGCGCCGCAAACTTGCATGTCTACAATTTGCTCCAGCACCGCGCACCGCATCTACGCGGCCATCCCTACACTGTTTTGCTTGCAAATATGGGGTGTTATGATTTACATGCTCGTCTTTGATGACCAACCGGCGGCCAAGAAATTGTACCAAGAGGCGAGGATGACGCTTGATACCGTATTTCCTCTAATCCCTTCTATTACAACCACAAAAAATTTTTTTAGTTGCTTTTAAGAAGTAAGGAATACCAAAACCGTTCTGTTTAAGCTTCGGCATTCCTGCTGTTTTTTGTCGGGGTTTTTTCGCAACGCCATTTGATAGAGCATCAAAAAATATACTAAGAGTTTCATTTCCAGCTCAAACTTATGTAAAATAAATAAAGTAGCGAAAAATATTTGGGAATTTCCGGCTGGGGGAGAGATAGAGCAAAGTTTTACCAAATAAAAATTCGATGGGATGAATGTAATTCCTGCATTGACCTTGCCTACGTCCAATTTCTAATTTTCACAAAGCTCAATGGGTTACGTTCAGAAATACCCATTCTTTCGGCGTTTTTTCGATATACCGTCGCTGTACGTCTTCTCACCCGAAATCGGTGTCATGGTGATAAAGTACCTATCGATTTTCGTCTTCATCACCATCGGCACGATTGCGGGCAAGTATTGACGTTTTCTACGTTTTGCCTGATGGTTTAAAGGGGCTCGGAAGTCAAAATTCGTGTGTGTGGGATTCAACCTACTGATCAAAAAGAAAAGGATTGCCGCCGAAAAGTGACGGACAAATGATTCCGTTGAGAAAAAAACGCGAAATATTTGCGAAAAACAAATGTTTTCGGGGCGAAAACGAATTGTTGGCGCGGCGATTACAAGTCGTAATGCCTTGTAAGCGGCCAATCTCTCGATCTCGATGATTCTCTGGCCAATTTTTATAATTAAAAAGCCTAGGATGCTCAAAAGTTGATCAAGATCCCAGAAATCACGTCAGAATTTTGAAATTCAACCGTTTTTTCACGTCCAAACAGGGGCAAAAGTTCAGGCTGCGCGGTCGCGTTACGGTCGCATCTGGCTATTTTCCAGGAATCAACGCAGGGGCCGTGGACCAGATTTCAGAGCCCCTTTAAGGTTCTCGGTGCTGTCAGTCGCGGGTCGCGCCACTGGAGGCAGTGGGCCACTGACGAAACATTTGCATTTTTGAAAAATTCAGGTATCTGCACCGTATGCTTCGTGGTTCTGGCCGGCCAAAAACACTTCATGAGCCCGAAGACATATCGATTGCAGAAGTTATGGGTCTACAACTGCATTATTCAGGTAATCAGCAGACAGCACGACGGTCGTTAAAAAGGAAAACCGTCGTATTAAAGGTAACGGTACCGATGGTGACGCTACTTGGTCCCATCGGCCTTGATATGTATATCTACTTTGCCGATGCCATCGCTCTAGTCGGTAAGTTTTTTGAGCTTGCCACTCCCGTTTTTACGCGGTTCAGAAGCGTCGGATCGCAATGATAGATATGATGCGAAAGCTTTTGAAACGGCGAGTTTGCACTAAGCCTCAAAACCTCGTTTGAGAGGCGCTATTTTACAAGCCATTTTGTAAAAATTCGCGGGTTTTTTGGGGTTAGATACGAGCTAATTTCCTCAATTTCTCGAAGCAAAATAACCGCAAGTACTCGTTAATTAAATTTCTGGGCCAGCCCTTCATGTTTCAATCAGGCATGAAATGGCGCGTTTAAATAAAAACTGCTCAAAATTTAAAGAAATATCGACTGCTGCATACTCGCCGTGCCGAAAGGCTTTCGAACGATATAAATGTGAAATCGATTTTGAGCGGCGTTTTTCTCATTGGAACACGCGGTATGCAAACCCGAATGTTCTAGGATTCTTGCCTTTCATCATCGCGATGGGTGGGCAGCATGGGTTCTGCTCCAGCGTCGTCACGCTGCTCATCTACAAGCCTTATTCGGATTATGTCAAAAAATCTACGCTCTCTGTTATCGCATTCATAAAACCCCGTAAATTAGCAAGGAATTAGATAGATGGCAAACTTCCAGATGCGACTTTCGAGCGTCCTGCTACGTCAGTCAGAGCTAATTCGGCCACCATCAATCGATCTTTTACGGCCACTATCCACCGATGAAACGGAGATGAATGTTGCTGGCTCTTGCTGCTTTCGCTGCGGAGAGTGTTTGGAAGGGAATAAAAATTTTCGGAGGCTCGATGCGTCAAGCTCTTGTTTTGCGGTGACATTTTATCATGTATCCCGCAAAAAGCTTATGAGAGGTCTGAGAAACAATAGGATAGCATGCGATGTGGTAAGAGTTTACTTTACCCCCCTCCCCCATAGCCGAAGGGTCTCAAAGTTTTCGGTATTTTCGATAATTTTTCGGGATTTTCTGAACGCCATGGATAGAGCGTCAAAAAATATACTAAGAGTTTTGATTTGAACCTACAATAATGTAAAATAAAAAAGTTATAGCAAAAAACATTCCGGCCGGGGGGGGGGGTAAAGGAAACCGTAGCCGATGAATTATTAGAAGAACATCATATGATAGCAATGATTTGGTTTTAGTGGGTTTTAGTGTACTTTTAGCGTGAAAGTCACAGGCCATGGAAGGGAGGGCAGGCTGTAGCCGGACCTTTCTATGTTAGGTTCTTGACAATTACGGAAGAACCAAAAGGCAGCAGTTTTGACACCAGCGAAACAAGTGTGCGAATCCTTTGGAATCTGCCACTGTTTGGTCAGTCGGTCGTAAAGCAGGCGGCTAGCCTCATTCACGTCTTCCGGCAGTGACGCTTTTTGGGACCAGCTATAATACTAGGTATTCACTATAATAATTAACGGACTCACACAGTCTCCGTGTCTGCCTCATAATTAGCTTTCACACCGTTCAGTTCGGCCAAGGTTGAGTTAAGCTTTTCTAAATATATTGGATCGATTTTTGGCAAAGCTTTTGATTTACCTATGGCTTTCGAATCATTTAGATCTATTCGCCGTCGGCTTATTAAATAGGTGACTCCATCTACGATCGGCGCCGCGCAGTCGAAAGGTTCTCCGATGATATAGACGGGTACTTGCGGTGTTTGCACAATCGTGGACTGGTAGACGTAACTAAAACTAAGGAGCTATTGGCATCTGTTTTTTGGGGATTTTTCCGGCTTAAACTGGGCTCCAAGCTTAAACTAGCCAAGCCAGGCCTGGCCTAAGCCCAATCTAAGCCAAGCCCAGGCTTAAGCCTAAGGCTAAGCCTAAGCTCAGGCTTGGCTGCGCTTAGGCTAACAAGGAGTGCTTTTTTCAGTCATGCAAAACCTGACGAGACGAGCGTCAATGTGACTGAAGAAGCGAGGGTAAACTGTATCCGGTCGTTGCTATGCTGCGTTCTTAACAGCTACGAAAGAAAACTGCAGTTGTGTTGACAACAGCATCACGAATGTACAAATGTTCTGGGATATGCTAATGGTCTATCAATCGGTCGTAGGGTAGCGGGTCGCCTGGTCGAGGTCTTCCGGTAGCGTAGTTTTTTGGGATCCAATACATGTGATGTAGTTTGGCATAAAATCACCCGAAATTAAGAAAAACTAGATTGCCTCTTTTTCAGATAAAAATTTCCAATTTTGTAATTTTGTGTGTCTGTAAGGTCTGTTTTTCTCAAATTATTCATCCCTCCCAAGGACGTGAAAGCAATAATTTTCCGATTAAAGTCAGACATTCACCTGCCGCTTTTTTTAAGCCCGTTGAACACCAGAAACCACCGGCATGCAAAATAGGTTAGCTTTTGATTGCAGCTTCACCAAACGCTCGGCTTTTAAACATTGTTTTTTTACATTGAATTATCATTAATTTGATGTTTTTCCGGGTTTAATTAAATGGGCTACATCATGTTCGTGCTGGACACGACGCAGCCCGAGATGAGCCCGGAGACGAACCTTCAGATTTACACGATCATGGAATACGCTTCAGGCATGATGGAAAAATACGAGAGGTTAATTGCTCTATCTTTAGTCTTTACAACAATTGTAAATCTATACGCTTTGTATGTTATTTGGTATAAGACGCCGATGCATATGAAGAAGTATGGCCGATCATTGGCCGCGTACCAGGCAAGGTTTTTGATTTGAGAACCAAAAACAAAAATGGTGTGACGCGCTCGACGGTGAAATGAAACTGGGGTTCTGGGCTGTTAGCTTGGGGGGGCGGGGGAAATAACTTTTTATTTTTCGACCTATGCCAACCTGTTGCTACCTGTGTATAATGTATTTTATCTTATTTTAGTAGTTTTGTTTGCTCGAAAGTTTTAAGACATAAAGTTATATTTTTACCTTTTCTTGGACATTTTTGACTAAGGCGTGAAAAATTTTCGAAAATTTATTATTATTTTTGAAAAATTTTTATATCTAAAAACTATGTGGAGTGCTATGAAAACGGTTTATATTTTATTAAATATAGGGTCGTAGAGACCCACTGGCAAAATTGAAGGGTCATAACGCATCCAGGGTTTGAGGAGGCAGCGCGCGTTGCGGTGACGCGAGCCCCACAATTTTATTGAGAATCTAGTGTTTGTTTTCTCATTGATTCTTCAGTTTGTTTCCCTGTTGATGGATGTCATGCTCAGCTCAGCTACAGCACCGTATCTGCTATTCCCCGTGCCAGGCGGATATCCGCTAGGATGGATGTCCCACGTGGGGATCTCGACGCAGCTGCAACTCGTGTGTTAGCCGCAAAATTTAAACCTCTTTACTTCGAACTCGCAAGTACAAGGCTGGGCGTTCCAGACATTTTGCCGAATTTCGTCTCATGGGAGCGAAACTCATGCGTTTGGTTGTCACTTAACATCCTTCCAGGTACTCGTCGGTCTGGTCGGCACCGAAATGGGGGTGGTAATGATCACGCTATTCATGACACGGCAACAGGCCATTATGCCCGATTCACATCCACTAAAATGGTCGTCACGGTAACACCGTTCTTACCATGAAAACATGCGTGTAAATTTGTGAATAATGTATTCCGTGAGAAAAGACTCATTTATTCCAACCAAGAAAAACTGACTACCAGGCGCCAGACAGGCATCCTCTTTCTCAAAATTCCATTTTGGGCCTTATTTTTTAAATATTTGGCGTTCAGAACGGGACATGCGCTCCTCATTGCCGGCCACCTGGTGTTATATTTGCATATCAGCGGCATGCTTCTTTATATGCTCGCCCACGACGACCAATCGGCCGCGAAAAAGATTTATCAGGAGGTGTGAATACGGAACCCGATTTTCTGAAGTCGTCATTTTGGGTAGATCGCAGGCTACCAGCTTTACCACGGTCACGTTTCGAAAATTTGGGGTACTGGGCGCGCGAAAAATGTGTCGCGCCATCCGAATCCGGATTCCGTTACGCATCCCGCACGCGACGCACCGTCAATCGGGCGACCATCTCGATGCCAACAGAAAGCCGCTGTGTCGTCGGCTATGTCTAAAAAATTTCGGCATCAGAAATACCGACAACCTGAAATTTCGACATCATGCAATTTCGACGGTCCGAAACTTCGATATTTTCGAATCTAGAGATTCTTATAGCAAACCCTTTCTCCAGGCTGTCCAAACGGTTCGTCATTTTCAGAAATATCCATTCTTTCGCCGTTTCTTTGACATTGAGTCCCTGTACGTCTTTGACCCCGACATTGGCGGCATCATAATAGTGAACCTAGTCGTTTTGTTCTTCATCTTTCTCGCCATGATTCTGGGTGGGTTTATCATTTTACGATAGTATTTGGGATTTTTGATCGAGACCTTACAATTTTTCGTGAAAGCCTCTAATCCCCATGATGGATGCGAATTTTAGCTTCCAGCACCACAAGCTTCATCGTGCTCGCCAGTCAAAAACAGTTTATAAGCGCTAAAACCTATAAGTTACAACAGCAATGGATATACAATTGCGTTATCCAGGTGAGATGGAGTCAACAGGAGTACCTTCTTTGCGGCAATTATCGAAAATCGTGCGCAAAAAATTATTGTTGGCGAGACTTAGAGAAACACGTTGGAAATCGGTCGTGAAACCGTGTTTCCCCTGATGCATCCCCGTTAAATATCATTGCTCTTGGCATTTAAGAAAATAGCATTTTGAATTTGTCACATACAAAAATGCTTGTTTAGACTTTCTGTCCTAAGTCTTAGGTCATTATAGCAGGCTAAACTGCCAAAACTGCTGAAATTACTCAAAAGATTTTTGTAATCCGGTTCCTCGTCTGGTTTACAGCTTTGTCTGTGGCAGGTAGCGGCACCCATATTTTTCTACATTTCATGGGCATATCAAATGAAATGAAAAATGTTTTTTGGCAAAATAACTAATTCTTTGAGGTGACGCTGCCGCTGACTACCCTAGGTTTTCCAATAGTTTTCGATGGTTGGATTTACTATGCCGATGCTGTCGCTTTCGCGGGTAAGCCTTGGCCAAAACGGGCAATTAGTCTCTCAAATTGTTGATACTAAAATCTCATAGTGCCGAGGTGGCAAACCTTGAAAGCCGCGGTGCGGTGAAGAAGAAAAAGATCAAGATCAAAAAAAGTCAATCGAGAAAGTAGCAAAATTAGCATTTTTGAGATAACTCAAAAAGTATTGTAACGAACCCACTGACTGAGAGTCTCTGTTCATATTCTAAATTCAGGTAAGCACCTCTGTTCAGAATTTCGGCGCAATCGGATTTGAATCAGCAAATGGCAGCCAGAACTTTTGATCGGGGGGGGGGGGCACCTTGATTTTTAAGAACCCTATTTATCACCATTACAGGGTTTTTGCCGATAACCCTCGGCATCACGGGGTTGCATGGATTCTGTACTACCCTGGTGACAATGTTCATCTACAGACCCTACTCGGAATATATCAAGGAATCGGCGATGGGCGTCCTCGAGTTCTTTGCGCCTGGTAAGCTGAGATTGCCGGGTCATGGCAGCTGCAATTCGTGTTTTTGGCTTGCGGTTTTTTCGTTGTTATCCGACTGCTATACTCAGAAAAAGTTTTCAGAAATTCCAATGATCGGAAAGACTTGAGCGCAGCTGCTAACCTTTTTTAAAAACCAAAAAAAATTTTTTAAAAAACCTCAATATGTGCTTGTACTTTGATTGCCGATTTATAGATAGTAATGGTCGTCAGCCGCGGACTCGTGTCGCCACAACCCTCAATCGACTATCTACGCTCGCCCCACAAGCTTTGAATTACGCGGCGGCGGCACGTAAATAAACTTTTTTTGCAGGTTGTAGGTAGAAGGGAATTTTTGACATTAGCTTTCTAACTCTTTCGAGCGTTTTTTGTCTTGTTCGCAAAGGGCAAATTTTTTGAAAAATTCTCTTCGCGGACATAGCCTTCAAAAAAAAATTATATTCAAAAGTGACGTTTGCAAAAAAGTTCAAAAAGGGCATCGAAATCGTCGCAGGACCAAAGTAGCTGGTAAGGTGCCAAACCGATGAGGTTGATTATTTTTCAGATGGCAACTGTGGACGCTCGGCGTTGCCTAGCCGATCTACTTCTGCCGCTCTAAAACGATCGTTTTTTGCAACCACCAGCAACACCATTAATCCACCATTGATGCGAAGATAAGGTGTAATACTTATTCCTGTCGGATAACTTAGTATAAAGAACTTAGACGCTAGACTAGACTAGAAATTTGATACTAGAAAAACACTAGCATAGACACATAAAGCATAACATGCCCATAAAAACTGAAAACAATTTCTCCGGTGGGTGGAAGTGTTTACTTAACCAAGAGAAGGCTCAAAATTTCATAAAAATCTAATAAATACCGATTTCCGATAGCTATTGCAGAATCATTTATCAAAAAATGTTTGCAGGGATGTTCTTTTCAGCAAAATCCACGAGTGCAGCAGGTGCACTGGCCTTGGCCAAATCCGGGCTGGTAGACCGAGGAAATCTGAATATCATAATTGACTTACACCATTCCATGGAATAGTTCAAAAATTGCTTAGGTAGAGCAAAACCTTTGTGGAGGAATTCAAGCTTGAAAACTGTCCCTACCGTAGACCAAAAGTTGCTATGCAGGTTGGCACGGCAGCAGCTGGTGCAGTCCTGGAATGGAAATTTGTAATTTCTGAGGGGCCTATTCTTTGAAATTTAGCATTTGGTTGCTGAAAAACGTTAGAAAAAGAACGTATCGATTCTCTCAACTTACAAAGAGCCCAAATCCACTCGTCACGCAGGGGTTAGAGCTAGGGAATCGGCTGAAGAAGACGGTAATGGCCGAGCAACCTGAATAAAGGTGTATTTATTTAATCGGAAAATTCTCCTACTCTGGGAACAACCCGGAAACGATGGGATCGGGCGAGTAGGTGGGAATGGCTGAATTTTTAGGACACAGTAAAAATTTAACAAAGAAAAATTTCTTACGCTGGGGAATGGAGGGCCGGGTCGGGGCGGGAAGCCCTGAGAAATGGTAATTTAAAAGGCCGTTTGCGAGAGACCCGAACAAGGCTTGGCACAGTTTTTTTCGACCCCGATTTTTTGATGCCATCTGATAGAGCGTGGTCAAATTAGAGGAATCGCACTAATTTGGGATTTTTAAATTAGCATTTTCCTAGTTAAACAAGGCGTTAAAGTTGCCAACGTCCAAAATTTATCTCGACGACTACTTGACAGAATTGGCTGAAACTTTGTGACTAGGCCTAATTTGGGATGAGGATCATTTTTCTAATACATCGCGAAGCACGAAAATTAGCAGAACCTAGTTAAATTGCATACCCAAAACAGTTTTTGCCAAATTTCAAATTAACGGCGGGTCGGCCGCAAGCTGGAATTAGGCTAGAAAGATGCGCAAAATTTTTCTGCATCGATTGATGTATTATTTAGGTGGCGGCCAGGTCGCCGTTTTCTCACAGCGAGCTTTTTATAGCTGAAAAATGGTCAGAAAATCTGACTAAAATCAAAAATTTTGCGATTTTCTATGTTTTGACCCACGGGGTCATATTTAACGATCACGCCAAGCTAAACGCAAAAATTAGCAAAAAGAAATTCGACATTTGAAGGGGTGCTTGTTTTGGGCGGGAATCGAACCTGGACCCTCCGCCTGGGAGCCCTGTGGCGCAGTGAGTAGAGCGTCGGCGTGCCAATCCAGAGCCGCCGCCAGTTCAATTCCAGCTCACTCTCCGAAGCCGAATTTCTTTTTGCTTTTTTTTGCAATCGACTTGGCATGATTTCTTGATGCGTTTTGACTACTCCGATATGTAAATACCACAATATTTTGCATTTTAGTCAAATTTTCAGACCATTTTTCAGTTATAAAAAAGCTCAGTGTAAGAAAACGGCGACCTTGCCGCCACCTAAATAATACATCAATCGATGCAGAAATTTTGCGCATCTTCCTAGCCTAATTCCAGCTTGCGGCCGACTCGCCGTTAATTTGAAATTTGGCAAAAACTGTTTTGGGTACGCAATTTAACTAGGTTCTGCTAATTTTCGTGCTTCGCGATGTATTAGAAAAATGATCCCCATCCAAAATTAGGCCTAGTCACAAAGTTTCAGCCAATTCTGTCAAGTAGTCGTCGAGATAAATTTTGGACGTTGGCAACTTTAACGCCTTGTTTAACTAGGAAAATGCTAATTTAAAAATCCCGAATTAGTGCGATTCCTCTAATTTGACCACGCTCTATCAGATGGCATCAAAAAATGGGGGTCGAAAAAAACTGTGCCAAGCTATAATGGGGACTGTTCGAGTGACTCGCGGACGGCCTTTTAAAGGTTTGATAAAAATTTGCTTACTCCTCCTGGGAACGGACGACCTGGGCCGGGGAATCCCTGAAATAAAACGGTTTTAAAAGGGACTAGGAAGCGCTAAATCGACTCTTCAGGTTCGACCGGGCCTCCACAACTACGCGGCACCCCAAAATACGTTAAACGAAATAGACCATCAAATTGTTTTTACGCGTTATTGATGGCTTTAAAGTTTTAAAGTAGCAGTCGATACCTAGTCGAAGACGGGGGTCGATTCTAGAGCTTCTAAGCCACTTTAAACCTATTCCAAGTTTTGAAAGCAGCAAATATCAAGGACGACATACTCCATGACCACCAGGGAAGCTGCCTCCTCTTCCAGGGAAGCCACCACCGCCTCCAGGACGACCGCTGCCACCACCGCCTGGGAAGCCGCCTCCATTACCGTTTCCGCCATCCGGACGTCCTCCTCCGCCTCCACCTGGGAAGCCACCACCGCTTCCACCACCTCCACCACTGCTTCCACCGCCTGGGAAACCCCCTCCTCCTCCATTGCCTCCACCACCGCCGCCTGAGCCGCCTCCGCCTGAGCCGCCTCCACCACCTCCCCCCTGAGCCGCCTCCACCTCCTCCGCTCGGGAAGCCCCCTCCACCGCCGCTTCCGCCACCTCCGCCACCACCAGGCTATATGCGAAACCTTCCGAAGTTGTTAAAAAACCCACCTGAGGACGTGGACCATCCGGGAAGGGCTAAAATTTACTTATTTACTATAACTTCTGTAACCACGAAATTCATCACTCCGAAAGCTATTACCCCCAAACAGTCTATACCCAGAAAGGTTATTACCCCCAAAATTCTAGTGTTTCTTCGGACAATGCTATTTTTGCTTATTATTTCCGAAACAAACAATCTTACTATACGAACTTTTGATGTAATGGTTTTCATTAAAATCTTTGCTCATTTACACAGCTCCAAAAAATTCTACCTGCGGGCCATTGCCTGGACCATCATTACCAGGTCGTGGGAACTAAAACAATCTTCTGTAACTGATCGAAAATCCAGCAGAACATCCCATACAACAATCAATTCACCAACCCCACCGCCACCACCACGTTGAGCAACTACATAGCCAAGGAAGAGAGCGAGAATTAGGGTAGAGCCTCTCATCCCAGCAAGGTTTTTGTGGGATCGGGATCAGAATGAATTTCGGCGCGTTCTGTCGGCCCTTGGCTTATTTTGACGGGCGCCTAGACGGCAAAAATCCGATGTGTCAGGTGCAGAACCAAAAATTGGGAACGTTTTTAAAGGAAAAGTGTAGCTTACAATGGCAAGAAACTGCCTGCGCTAATAATAGGACCTGATTTGGTATGTATTTTGATGTAATTGATTCATGCAATTTTTTGTGATGGATTTGCGTTCTACAAATTATATTACATATATTTCATTCAGAAAAGCCCGAAAGCCATGAACATATAAATCTAAACCGTCTGATGTTTGAGAAAGGTCAGAGAAATCAGATCCTTGCTCAGGTTGCAGTCATCATCAGGCATGAAAAGCCGTTTATATAAAATCGCAGAATGGAATGAGGCATTATCTGAATGTGATAAGGAAATAAGGACGCTCTAATCTAGGCTGGGAGGTAGTCGCTTCTATTTATTAAAACAGAAAGATTGAAGATAGATTGTTGGTAAAATATATTTACCATTAATCAAGGTATTTCATTTGTCGTACGCTAACAGGTCAAACAATTTATTAGCTTCGTTTGACAAATCACGGCCTTCCTTGAGCATGAGCCTGAAGCCTTGCGCGATGTACAATTAGATTTATCGTTTTCGTCCTCGTTGTAATCGGGATACCTCCACCCTTAAACATTAAATCATTTCAGCTACTTTTTACCTCGTTGTTAAAAGGGTTCGTTAAACTATTAGAGGGCTCCTAGACTGTTTTCTTGTTTGTTTTAATGTTTTAATGAATTGTTTATTGATATGAGCTTTGTCTGTGCCGGCTCAAATGGCGTTTCAGAAAATTAATGAAAAGATTTACCTATAGCGAGTGAGAGATTTACCTTATCGTCAAACATGCTTGAAATGAACCACCAGGCGTCGTACCAAACTAAAAAAGCCTTAATTTCGATGAAATCAAGATACCTCAAATAATACTTTCTTTTTGTCGGGCTTGTTAGTCGGTTCGTTTTTGATCAGGTCAACTAAAACTAGTCTTTTATATATGACAGATTTAACCGTAACCGGTTTTTATCTACAGGGTGTCCCAAAAAAACCCCCCCCCCTCGGCATTTGGCCGTCTTCTATCCCGTCGGGACCAAATTTTTACCAGTGATGCGGACCCATAAAAACTATGTGCAGCCGAATTTTCTAAGCAAAATACTATAAAACACAAAAGTTATCGCTAAAAAACTGATTTTTGGGAAACGCTAGTACCGATTTTTCGCTATGTTTTCGCAATTAGCATGCCGATATTGAGTAATTTTCCCAAAAATCGTCATTTTCGGGTCCGTTTCTGTTCGTTTTGATAATAAAAATTGATGGAAAGTCCCGTTTTTTACGTAATTTTCGTAAATCAAAAAATTCCTCCGGGTGGAAAAAAGTGCGCTCTTCAGTTTTGCTAAACATTTCGAGGTCCTAATCCATCAAAATCCTAGTGAAATCGGCAAAATAAACCTTAATTTCAATATAACTTTTTTGTTTTATAGTATTTTGCTTAGAAAATTCGGCTGCACATAGTTTTTATGGGTCCCCATCACTGGTAAAAATTTGGCCCCGATCCGATAGAAGACGGCCAAATGCCGAGGGGGTTTTTTTTTTGGGACACCCTGTAAATAAAATCAGTATATTGTGCAAAAAGAAAACGTTGCATCACAAGTGCTTACGTGCTTCAATGCAGGGAAATGTTTTCCTTGCCCCGCAGGGCTGCATTTCAAGTCTATAAGAAATTCAGAAGCATTCTTCGAGTTTTCCGGGGATCACGTATCGTACCGCTTCCAATTTAAACTCGCGCAAAGATTTCGGAGTCCTTAATGGCAATTGTCAAAAATTCTTTACAATAGTACTGTGGAGAGTAGTAATAATTTCCATAGCCAATCGACCCGCGTGATTTCGGTGAAATCCAAATTCTTCAGATAATAATTCATCATCATAAACTCTTTCGTCAATTTTTCCGTTTATCTGCCATTGCGCGCATTGTCGAAAAACCATTGAAATACTGGTCTTGGTTTAGAGACTAGCGGTGAAAATTATAGGTAATTTTTATATCTGACAATGCAGAAAACCAGGGGTTATATTTAACACGCTTACTCGCTCAAACATGGGGAATTTGACCCTTTCACGAGGGCGCTGCTATCCAGTATATAAAAAAAATCATTAAAAGCTTCTTCCTTCCTGGTCGTATATATCGAATATAATTCGCCTCGTGCCTCGTATCGTTTCCATTTTTAATTCATCAAAGATTTCCGCGTCCTTAACGGAAATACTATGAAAATTTTAGGGAAGTGGCAAAATTCTTTCAAGTTGCGGAAATGTTTAGAAAAATTTATAATTACTATAATAACGTTATCACTTTTATAACTAACCAAGACTCCTGAACACCGCCGCAGGCCCGATATCGATATCAATATCGAAAGTATTGTTTTTCAGGGTTTCTCCTTCTGGAAATTTTTTTCTATATTTTGGATTCCGTTAATTTGAGCAATCATTAGACTGTTTATGCAGTCGTTAAATCAATGGCAGAATTTCCCAGAGTTGAGGTAAGCCTGAAATTGATTGTCAAATGCATTGCAGATTTGCATATCTCGAGTTTTGGAAAAAACAACATAAATAAAAATATCTGTAGAAGAAAAAAAACATACCAATAAGTCAAGGCTTTCATTAAACGATATCAATTACGATAAATTTCTTAACAAAGCCAGGACATATACAACTGTACGAACCAGGTAGCGCAAAATTTGACGTACAAAGATCAATGAAGCCGGCAGGCTGTACGCCCTTTTATCAAGTACCCAAACCTGACAGTGTGATTACCCTTATCTTTTGCCCCATTTTGGCCGTAATGTCTGGCAGTTCTGCTTAAAGGGCCAGTTCAGCCCATAAAACAGAAGAATTTCCGCGGCCCGGAGTCGAACCCTCTCTGCGTTTTTTATGTCTGCGCCTCTCCCATTTCCCCGATCTCTAATAGCTGTCGTCATGGGGGAATGTTCGGGCGCACTGTGCCTACGTCCATAGTTTCCCAAGGTACCAGCCCAAGCTCTAAAAGTTGAACTAGCCCTTTAAGGATGTGCTAGAGAGATCGATATTGTATTTTTAAGCGTTTATTCCGAACTCAATTGACAATAGATCTGGAATGGAGTGACTGGAATGAAAGATGGAGATTTTCCATTTTTCCCGTTTCTGAAAAATGCCTGATTTCGAATATTCCTAACCAAAATCCGATTTCATACAAAATCCCACTTACCCGTATAGAACGGATCTATTTTCTCTTGTCCCAGGCCCTCCAGGCTACTTGGAAATAGCGCACGTCCACGGCGGTATATACCAATCATCAGCAGCAGATTGGATGGATTAACAGACGCATCGCGTTGCCGCATCAAATCAAGCCCGTGCTCTGCCACATCCCTGGCTCGTTTAAAATATTCCTAAAGGTTTGACAAACTTTTTCAGGCGGTCTTCTAGCTGCAGGTATCCCATCAGTACAATATAAACAAAACCACGCCTGAAACATATCACTCCCCATCAGTCCGATCTCCCTTGGGCTTACATCGTCCACTTAAACCACGCTGCAACGACGGCGATGTTCTTCTTAGAGGCCTTGCAGTTTGTCACCATACTGAGGTTAAAAAAATTATTTGAATGCTGAATTTTCAATTTCTAGTGCTTCTTTTTCGCTTGAAAAATCTAAAAAAAATAAAACTAAAAAAATCCAAATGGCGTCTTATATAAATTCTTAGATTTAGGCTAAGATATGCATAAGCCAGGTTTAGGCATGGGCTTGTGGCACCTACCTCAAAAGACCTTCATAGATGGACAGCACGAGTGCTCTCGATTTCATCAACTATATTAAATATACACTATTATAAGCTACTTCAAGAGCAGCTTTTACAAAAACAGCTTCCCATGAAGCTTTCAAAGTGTTGGTAGAATCAGCCGGAGTTGAGGTAGCCCTAAAATGACAGAAAAAATTGATATTTAACGGCAATCTAAACAAATCAGCCTTCAAAAATGATCTGATGCAAAAATGCGTCTGAAGAAAAAAATGCAGGAAGACAGGATCCAGCGTTTTTTTCTCCCGCGCGTAGGCTAGCCGACTTGGTGGGCCCGTTTTTTCTCTCAGAATGTTTGCTCGCCAAATACCGTTAGACCGGTGGATCGAGACCCGGAGTATTGATTGTGCGTTAGAAAATCTGAAAACTTGAAAATCAAATCCATAAAATTCGCCTGAATGCTTTTTTTTTTACCTGCAAGCTCAAATCTCACCATCAAAAATTGCTTTTCAAAGGTTTCATTGTGGCGTGTGGCGTTGGCCGCGGGTCCCAACAGCCTAGGGACTTACTTCATGCACTGCAATTTTTTTAAAGTTTTTATGCCATACGTACCTTTGAATCTTAATCCAGTACGTACCACTCAGCCTGACTCTAGGCCGAAGCCTAATTTTAAATTAAGCCAGACATTGCCTAGTCACCAACCTCGGCAGCTTCAATCACGAAACAGTCTGTTATACGGCAAGTCCAATATTTCGGCCATGAATTTGCCCTTCAAAAAATTGATAAACTTTTGTATTTAAAAAAGCCGAAACGTGGCTGTTACGCAGCCACCCAAAGATTTGGTTGGATTCTCCAGAATTGAGCGTTGCTAAAATACAACCATTAAAGGCCTCTGGAAAGATGGGATTGGTCAAAAAGCAATCTGATGTGCACCGGCCGGGGGTCGAACCAGGGATGGTACGACCAGCAGTCCAACGCGTTACCCCCACACCAAAGGGGTCGAGTGGGGGAGGGCGGCGGAGGGGCCCCAAGTACCCTAGGGTCCATCTCGTGCACGTCACTGGGCGACAATTTAAAATAAAGCTAATTATAGATAATAATAACGAAAAATCCTACAGAAAAGCTTGCTAAGGGCAAGGAGAGTCTTCCCTGGATTTCCTGAAGTGTTTTATGCCCTTTCCGACGATTTTTCAAGTAAAGAACGCCCCCCAAAAACCTCTTTTCGCTCAGAACATGGCAGCCATCGTTCCAATCAGCCTCAAATTTTTACCATCGATGGGGATGGCTATAAACTATTTTTATGGAAGTTTCCAGCCAAAAATATAGTCAATCATAAAAGTTATGGCTATAAACCCGTTTTCTGCAAATCCAGTTGGGGTTTTGGGGCCCCTTACGCGATGGAAAGCGTGCATGGTATCGCCCCGTCGGTCCCTCACCCCTGGGGACGCCCGGCCATCTTTCCAAGGGTCTTTAATGGATGGCGCTGGTATATAAGAACTATGAACAATACGCAATCAATTAGATTTGAGGAATTTAAGTGGATGCAAACGCGGGAAAAATCAGCAAAGTGATGGACTGCCGATTTGTTGATCGAAGGGAGCACTGCCTCGAACTCCACCGAGTTATCACCGAGCCAAGCCGGCTGGAGAGCTTTTTATTACCTTTAATATTTGCTCATCGAAGGACGTCGTTCTAATTGGCTCGACTAATCAATTACGCCATTAAAATACAATAGTTACAAACCCGAATCGAGCGCCATAAAAAACACAGTCTTATTTTTTGAAAATTCAAATCGGATTTCACAATCCCAAAATACATTGATTTATTGGAAAAAAGCTTTGTTTCGCGACTATCCTCGGCAGAAAGAGGTGCTGCAGCAGGTGCAGGCGCTCTGGCCACGTAGCTGGGTGAAGGAGGTGCGCATCTGGGGGTTAGAAGAATAGTCAAACTGTCCAGAATTTTGCTTACCGATCCCCAGAATTGACGGGGGAAGTTCTTCTGGCAGCAGGCAGTGCAGTCCTGTAATGAAAATACTAGTTTGAAGATTTTACAGGTATCGGCACAAGCAGAGAGAGAGAGAGAGAGAGAGAGAGAGAGAGAGAGAGCGAGGGAGAGAAACAGAAATCGATGAAGCCTAGAAACGTACATTGAACCGGGTAGACGTGAAAGTACACGGATCCCTGGAGTGGAAACGGTTGAAATTTACATCAATGTTGCGGCATTCAAGGTCTAAAAAGCTTCATAACCACTTGCGAAAAGCTTACGGTTCGGGCAGGATGGCTGGTCACGGCCCGGGCCCGGCTGCGGCTATAAGAGGATGAAGATGAAAACTTTTAGCAAAAAAAGATGGCGTGTGGCTAGTTTTAATATGCCATATTACCTTATAGCCCCCGGGGTTTCAAAAATTTCAGGATTGAGACCACGTAATTACAAAAATTTGATACCTGGGGAGGCATCGGCTGGGGTTGTGGCTGAGGCTGCGGACGCGGCAGAGGCAAGGGCTGAAAATAAGGTTCGGATAATTTTTATTGCTACACAAAGAAAACATAAATTGGCTAAATCAATAAAAGCAACAATCACTTGAGGCTGTGGCTGCGGTTGAGGGCGCGGCGGCATAGGCAGCGGCTAAAAACTCAAAATCTCTACGCTAGAAATTTGATCAACACCTGCGAGTGCGGTGGGGAATCAGGAATCGACCTTGGCTAAACAGCTTGCTTCACGATTCAATTTTTGAATACTAAGCCTTAGCGTTCCTACGGTTTGGGCCGGGAACAGCATTGAAGGCTACAATACCTGGGGCTGGGGGAAAGGCTGTGGCCGGGGCTGTGGCATCGGCATCGGCTAAAGGAACTATTTTTCGGGCATATGCCATTTTATTTATGTATTGATCGTATACGTGTTATAGAAATCAATATTTCAAAAAACGTAAAACCTCTTGCAAAGCATACACACCTGTGGTTGCGGTTGGGGCTGGGGAAACGGCAGGGGTTGGGGCTGGGGCTGCGGTTGCGGCTTTGGCATCGGCATCGGCTAAATTGGAATCGAAATGTTACAAAAATCTAGAATTTGATGCAGTTTGGAATTAGATAGCAATACATTACCTGCGGCTGCGGCTGCGGCTGGGGGAAGGGAAGAGGCTGTGGCTGGGGCTGAGGTTGCGGCATCGGCTAGAAAATACCACACCTTAACAAAGTTTTAAAATTCCACCTGCGGCTGCGGCTGGGGAAAAGGCTGTGGTTGAGGTTGAGGCTGAGGCATTGGCATTGGCTAAAAAGCCGACCGTCAAAATACGTCAAATACAAAAACCTGCCTGCAGTTGTGGCTGCCCAGGGAAGCGGGGAGGGTCCTAAAAAGCATTTATTAAGAGAAAAACCCAGTTTCACGATTTTCCGCAGTAGCCTTATCGAAAAACGTTGAATTCTTAAACGTAAACTTCAACGAACCTGCTGAAGCTGTGGCAACGGCTGTGGCTGCTGCACCGGAAGTGGCTGGGGTTGGGGTTGCTAAATCGGACTTTCACTTAATTTCTCTATTCTTATTTTCCTATAAAACACCACGTTTTTTGAGCAGTTTTATCTGTTCGAGCCAACCTGCACAAACGGCTGCTGTTGGGGCAAATTTTGTGGCTGCTGCACCGGTTGGGGCTGGGGCTGAGACTGCTAAAAATTTACAACCTAGCTGTCGCCCTCCCTTTAAAAATATTCCGTAAAAAGAGCTTACTTGAGGAAATGGCTGGGGTTGGGGCTGGAAGGGCGGCTGATTCTAAAAAAACACAGCATTAAGGAAAGGGTAAAAAACCTAAATATTTTTAGCTCACCTGGAAGCTAGGCTGGGGCTGCGACTGCCGTACGGGCCCTTGCTAAATCAATTTTGATCAATATTTATATCGAAAAACAATATAAAAAGGTCTGCGGACCATGGCCCTAAATAAATACGTGCGCTCTAACTAATGTTGTGTCTCGTTCAAAAAATGTCGAAATCGCAAAAAACCGTAAATTCATAATTATCAGGTTACCAGGGTTGAAAAACCGCTTCGCGGCTTTTCAACCCTGGCCCCCGTCAAGGATCTATGAAACTTTGCATAATTTTTGCCGAAAACCGATGACCAAAAATGAAAACCACGCCCTCTCTTCCTTTTTATAAGCCATTTCCACTTCCGGCCTATGCTAATTTTCCCTAACAAAGAGGAAAGCCAAGATTTTTACAAAAACCCAATTTTAATAGCGAAAATAGCAATTTTTCAAAATTTTTGATGTGTGTGCAGTCGATTCCGGCCCCTTCTTTACCTAGTGACGTTTCTTCCCTACCGAAAAAATGCTTCCCTGAGGCTGTAGGTGCGGAACATCCAAACGGAAGTGTATGCAAATATACACACACACACACACACAAACACTATTTTTTATATATAGTAGGATGCAGTTTTCAGTAGTGCCAAAGTTTTTAGTTGTTTTAAATTTTAAAGCGGTAGCAGAATGTCCATGGATACCTGGGCATCGCGGCGGATGATGATCTAAAAGTATCTTTTAGGTTTAAATAACTCCAAATTACGTCAGAGGCCAAAGCCCCGCCAATCAACACCAACAGAAACTTCATCGTGGCGCCAAAGTTTTGCAATTTTTCACGGGGTTTCATTTATAAATCCAGGGCCTTATATTTTGGCTGAATGCCGAAACGTCATCATGTTTTGGCTCGGGTTTTTCAGAAAATAACCAGCGAAGCAGGGAAAGCGTTTGGAAAGCTATATTTCTCTTGAAAATCAATTGGGTGATGTTGTGACGGCACCAGGAAAATGCACACGCAACGCTTGGGAGGCTTGTATGGGGTGCGCCGCGGTGTTTCGTATCGCGAGCGTAGGCGCGTCACGTGCCGCTTCGGCTATCAAATAGAAGGGCTAGATAACGCGTTGCATGTAGCAAGCGCGGGCGCATTACGTGTGGCGTCGGGAGACGCGATGAGCGTTGCATGCGCGGGCGCACTGTGCGTTACGAGCGCAGATGCGTTGCGTGCTCCGGGCGCGTGTGCCTTGCGTGTCAGGTGTGCGGCTGTGTTGCGTTTTGCAAGCGCACACGGCGAAATTTCTAGAAGGTCCAGAAGCAACTAACCTAGCCATCCCTCCGGTCCTTCCGGTTTTTACCGCTTTCAAAGGTGTAACTGTAAGTTTAAGTCCCAACAATGCACATATTGTGAACGTGACAACGGCATTCCAAGCACGGGCACGTTGGCCTTTATTCCAAAAAAGACTTGGTCATAATAAAGAGATGCACAAGTTGTTGGTTAGGTCGCTTTGGAGAGCAGACGTGCAGGGCCAATCGAGTAGTTGGAAGGGCTTCTCGTGAGGAGTTGGGGGCGGAAGCGGACGCGGATTGGGAGTGGATACCTAGACATTGAAACTAGCATGCGAAGTGAAGAGGGAGCGAGCGAGAGAGATAGAGAGATGGGCAGAGAGAGAGAGTGAGCGAGAAGGAAAAAGATAAAATCGCGAAATCCTACCGTGTGCTGTTGTAGTACAGCACCATTACCCAGAGCCAGATTTGGAGGCCGATTTTTGCGACAAGTTGACATCTAAAAATCGGCGTATTTAGGTTACGGTGGTTCAAAAAAAAAGCGCAATTCTGCCTAGAATTTGAGGCAAACCGTACTCGTCGACTTATCCGCCTTCTCCACACCCGACGGCGACTCGATCTGGCTTTCGCCCGCCGGCGTCTGCGCGGCGTTCAGCGCCATGATGCGCTTGTAGGAGGGGTGGTCGGGCTGCACGCGCAGCAGGCTGCGGATTGGCTAAAAATCGATCAAAAACCCTTGAAATTAAGCCCACCTCGCCCTTCTCGGACGCCTTGATAATATTGCGGATGGCGAAGAAGATGAACGGCGAGAATTGGAAGAGGATGATGGCGCTAAAAAAGGATCACCGTCTAGTTGTTCAACACTAACATTCCAAAGCAGTACGCCCATGTCGGATATTCGGGCTTGGGCGCGAAGATCCGCTCGAATATATCGAGTATCTTGTAGCCGAAGACGAACTGAAAATGGGTTATAAAATTAACAGGCGACATTCTCAAGACGTTCAGGGGGAATGCTTTGACTTAAGCGTAATGTGTAGACCAACATGGCCCAAAATCGGCACGGTGACCAGCCAGCAGATGGTGAAGTAGTAGGATCGGGTGCCGATCAGGTACGTGCTGAACCAGTTGCGCCGCTCGCCGAACATCTCGCCAATGTCGTCGAGGAAGTTGCGGAGCCCTGCGCAGGGGTATGAATTGTTAATCTGCCGACTTACCGTAAATGTAGCAGGTCATGATGACGGCGATGGCCGAGCTGAGGGGGATGACGACGCTGCCGCCGAACGTGTCCATGACGTCGAGCCAGTACATGCCGTTCTGGAAGGAAAGAGACATTTAGAAAGCGATATAAAAATAATGAGAAAGGGAGAGAGCTAGAGAGAGAGAGAGAGAGAGAGAGAGAGAGAGAGAGTGAGAGAGAGCCAGATCAGCCAAAAACCCACGCCTCGGCACATGATCAATCCCGCCAAAAAGCACAGGAAGCAAACGATGGGGGTAATCACCATCTTGCCCTTGCCGCCCATGAAGTTCGGGAACGCGTCGACTATGGCGGAAGGGAGAGCGGAGACGAGGACTGGAAAACGGAGGAGATTATCATAAAGCCGGCACCCCACCAAATTGGGTGCCAATTCCGATGATGAACAACATCAGGAAGAAGACGAGGGCGAACACCCAGCCCATCGGCATCAGGGAGGCAGCCTCCGGGTAAGCGATGAAGGCGAGGCCCATTCCTGAAAATGTTTTGTAGAGGTGAACCTGCGGGTTTTGGAAAATGCTTACGATAGATACTCGTGGGTCGTGGTACTTAATAATTACTACTTACCTCCGGCAACGACTTGGTCCACGCTTTTCCCTGTGGACTTGGCGACGAAGCCAAGAATGGCGAAGACACCGATGCCCCCAAAGACGGACATGAACGAGTCGGCAAAGACGAGGATCAAGGCGTCCTGGAAAACGAGATAGAGTGCTAGAGAGAGAGAGAGAGAGTGTGAGAGAGAGCGACCGTCATACCCGGAAAGAGTTGTGCTTCCTGTCGTTGTACGAGGCCATGTTCAGCAACCCAGCCAACCCGAGCGACAGGCTGAAGCAGCACTGACTGATCGCCTCAGCCCAAGTCTGAAATTCAACGGGTTAGTGCGAGAAGAGGGCCAGCGAGTGACAAAAAAAAGAGAGTGAGCGAAAGAGAGTGCGAGAGAGAGAGAAAGAGAAAGAGAGAGAACGAGAGCAAACGACCTGACCTTCATATTGAGCAGCTTCTCCCACTTCGGGTCCAGGATGTAGAAGTAGACACCTTCATAAGCCCCGTCCAGGGTGACGCCTCGTACGAAGATGATTCCTAAGGGCTCGATATCGACAGCTAGGCGATGCTCACCCTACCGATCAGGACGTACGGAACCGTGCCGGTGAAATACGCCGTGTAGCCCATAATCTTGGCGCCGAACATGATCGCCAAACAGGTGAGGGCCCAGACGACGCCGAGGGCGATGAGGATCTAGATATCAAAAGGCATAGGTGAGAATTTGTTCATTACCGAGACGCTGAACCCGCCCGCGTCGTCGATGGAACCCGTCAGGTCGAGAATGTTATGACTGAAATTGCTCTCTGTATCTCTCTCACCCTCTCTCGCTCTCTATATCCTTGTCTCCCTCTTTTTCTCTCATTTTCTCTCTCTCTTTCGCTTTCTACCGTACGTACTGGAAGAACTGCTCGCCGGCCGGCTGCACTGTCGGGGCGTCGCTTATCAGGGAGAACGGGTAGTTGTTAGTCTTGAGGAATTCTTCGCGACTTGTGTGGCACGAATTCCCCCCGTGGAACGGCCTTTCCGGGTACTTCTCTTGGCAGTCGCCATTCATCAGGGCGGACACACATCTCTCTGAAAATGTAAAATTTGCAGGAGAGAGAGCGAGAGACAGAGAGCGAGAGAGAACTTCAACTTACCCTGATTATTCCACGTATTGTTACAAAGGCTCCACGCATACACATTGCCCGAGACCGGGATCTAAAATACACAAAAAAAACCCTTAGCCTGTACATCTACCCAACCTTGAACACCTCCATGATGTACAGCAGCACCCAAGCGACGATCACGTTGTAGTAGAGCGAGATGATCAGCGCCGTCACGCACATTGTCCAGCCGAGGCCTGGGAAAAGTGATTCCGGGGGAAAAACTGCTATCGGATACCCTGGAAAAGCGGCGCCATCTTCCGGAAGGCCTGCGGGGCACAGCTTTGGGTCCACTGGCCGATCAGGTACTCGAAGAAGAGGCCCGGGAGGCCGAAGATCATCGCCGAGATCCAGTAGGGGAGCAGGAAGGCTACTGAAAACGGCAAAGTATAGTAGTCTCTCTGTTTCTCTCCCTCTCTCTCTTTCTCTTTTTTTCTTTCTCTCTAGCTCTCTCACTTCTCTCTCACTCTCGCTTTCTCTCTGGCTCGCGCTTTCGCTCTGTCTCCCTGCCGCTTTTGCTTAAAACCTACATCCTCCATTCTCATAGGCCAACTTCGGGAATCGCCAAACATTGCCCAGCCCCACGGAATATCTGCGAAATCGATTTTCCATATGCAAATTGTCCAAAACCCGATGCAGCACAGGATGAACGACCACTTGCTGCCCCACTTCTCGCGCTCCGGCTCTAAACGTCAAATTTCATTCAAGGCAGAAGCACCAAAATTCACTTTTCAGCGCATCCGGCATATTCTCGGTGGTGGAGCCTTCCGAAACCGGAGCCACTGAGCCATCGGGAACCGAAGGTTTTTCGCTAAAAAATTTGCAAACATGATTTTGAATCCGAAAATTGGAACAATCCACAAAAGACTACCTGACAGACATGCCAAATGTCGGGAACGGCAGGGTTAGAATGAGGCCTTTTTTAGCGCTTTCTAACTCTTGGTTTGTAATTCTGGATTATGCAAATTTATGTAATTACTGATTCGCAACAAAAGCGACATTTTTTGAAGGTCTCTAGCGTTATTTTTTGCCGTAAAGCTGTTAGATGGCTGCGATGTTAGATTTTTTGGGCGTAAGGTCGCGAATTTGCCAATAGATGTTATGTATGTTAGATGTTTTTTTATTTGAAAAGGTTAATATGGTATTCGTACATAGTTGTGTATAGTAATTCGACCACGGCGAACATCTTCGCGATACTCGGTACATTGATGGGATGTATGGCTGAAACGTAGCGGGGGGGGCGGAGTGTTCCTAGACTCTTACCCACGAAAGCTATGGCGGCATTCCGGTTCCAGTTATTCGCACTTTTCCACGTATTTCCTTAAAGGGATGCCGCCCACATAGAAAATGTCTCTGCGCCTATCTCCAGGGCGCGCTCTCTGCCCCGTTGGCTACTTGCCAATTTGTCGATTGGGAGGGGGGGATCGACACATGTCGTCGGCATCGCTGTACGCAGCTTCAGCAGACAACGTTAAGCGAGTATTTTATTTGCATTCCGCATTGCACTGAAGGGTTTCCGATATGATATTGGCGAATGTACGTGTATGAAACGTCCGGGCAAGTGGGAGACTGAAAAACGGCATATTTTCTTGAACCGTCCTGCTTCAAATTTAATTTTACACAGGTTTAACTCAAAATTAGCACGCAAGTATCGCTAAGAAATGGTAGTTTGGCTGATAGTCTCGAATCCGTAAGGTACTCACAACGTTAACTTACCCGTTACAGAGACTGTTGTCGAAAACTTCATATCGGTGTTAATGAAAATTCCTAAAATTCCGTTGCGATAGGATTTTGTGGTTGATATCACGATGGTGGTTGATAGGAGGTTATGGAGACAAATTAAAAATGAGCAATAGCACCCTAAAAACATATTTCAGCCATGTCTGCGTAATTTGGCGCATTACGTAACTTTCTGCGTGTAAGAT